AACGAAGGGGCATTTGTTTCTTTACAATTATCCTAATTTAATTGTTTATCTCGCATTCGGCCATTTCACTATTTTTACAAAAGTATAAGAGTATGATAAATTCGTTTATCTAATTCCTACCCGATTATTCCTTTTCCTGACCTGTTGATTATTTGTATTTAATCAACGTGTGGTTTGTTTGATCTCAGTTCTTCCTTGGTCAAAATTCGATAATGACGTCAAATTTTCTTGCTTTCTTCTGAATTTCCTTTTCTGATGTCATGAAAAAAGTCGACCATGTCTGATGATGTCACATAGAAAGAACACATCTTTTTGCAGATCATTCGAAAAGAAGGATTAAGATTGTCTGTATATGGTATAAAAATCATTAGAGAAACATATTCAACAACCAAATCTCGTTCAATACGATATTTACAATTAAATTTTAAATATTCAAAACGCTCGGCGAGCCTCGCGTTTTAAATTTGAAAATTTAATTATCTCTTGTGGATAAATATCGTATAGCACTTGATTAAGTGGTAGAATCTTTATATACAAATACCGTCTTAATGTATACTGCTCCTAATTTGAGCAAACAGTAACATTGCATTTTCTGTTTTCTTTGCTGGTCATTTTAGTGTGTCCACCTCGAGGTCTGTGTAAAAGCAATGTCAATTCCTATAGAAAATTAAGACACAATACCTATACGTACAATGTAATAAAATATGAAATGTATTTATACTTGCTATGAAGAAGACAAAAAGCTCGAAATGACTCTCTTTTTTTTTCCATTTTCTTAGCTCGTAATAATGATTTTAATATTTTCAGACATTGAATGTATATTGAATTTTAATGAAAGAACCAAAATAATGTTCCAAGAAGGCCTCATCTGGCGGACATTTACTTTTTTTTTCTGACATAATAGCACATTTGTTCTCTAGGTGATCCTTTAGATCCACTTTTGCTATTAGAGGTTCATATGTTTCTCTTAAACAAATATCTTTATTTAAGTTACACAACTCATTGTATTTAATTCCTAAAATGAATTTGCTACATCAATAACCACGATGTTCGGTTAGACAGAAATACAGCGAATTATGTAACTATCATAAAGTGAACAATTTACTCACATGTGTTTTGGGTTACCGTGACAGATTAAACCCCTGTTGCATGTCCATTGTGATTAGTTTATGATCATAACTTAAACGAGGAAATGAAGATCTGGTATAATTGATCGCACCATACGCAACAACACAACATTAGTTTTCTAATGATGGATGGCAAATTGCTGTCTGCCGGGGATCTATTGCGCATCATCAGAAACTTTTATAGAAAGTTATAAAATATTTTATAGACTTGCAACTTTAAAACGATTTTAGAAAAAATACCCCAGTGAATAAAATTGAGAATGGAAATGGGGAATATGTGAAAGAGACAACAACCCGACCAAAGAGCAGATAACAGCCGAAGGCCACCAATGCGTCTTCAACGCAGCGAGAAAATCCCGCACCCGGAGGTGGGCCTCAGCTGGCCCCTAAATAAAAATGTGTAGTTCAGTGAAAATGGACGTCATACTTAACTCCAAAACATATAAATGAACTAAAATTAAAAAACATACAAGACTAACAAAGGCCAGAGGCTCCTGACTGGGGACAGGCGCAAAAATGCAGCGGGGTTAAACATGTTTTGTTAGATCTCAACCCTCCCCCTATACCTCTAGCCAATGTAGAATAAAGAAACACACAGCGATACGCACAGTGAAACTCAGTTTAAAAGAAGTCCGAGTCCGATGTCAGAATAGGTAACAAAAGAAACTAAGCAAAATGACAATGATACATAAAAAAACAAAGGACCACTAGCAGTTAATGACATGCTAGCTCCAGACCTCAATTAAACTGATTGAAAGATTATGTCTGCATCATATGAAAATCAAGCACAATACCTCCCGTTAGGGGTTTAGTAGCATACCATCATAAAATATATGAGAAGAACATAACTCGTATCATGCCAACAACTGGTTTTAGAATAAATGTGTTTATTTCCGATGAAAGACCATATGAGTGAATCAATATTAATACCAAAATATGCCATTCTTAATGACCTGACAACCGTATCGTAACTATATCCCTTCTAAATAAGTCTGTTTAGAGGTTTGGTTAGCTTTTGAGGTGAATGCCGACATTTTTGTGCTTTGTAAAGAATATTACACTAAAAGATTGGATGTGAAATACCCGAACGTATAGGATGTCTGCATGTTGATTTATATTTACGAATGATGTCCTTGTACCGATGATAAAATATAGTAAATGTTTTGACTAGTTTGTGATATCGAAAACCCTGGTGTAATAATTTTTCAGTAATACAGAGATGTCTTTCGTTTAAATCAAATACGTTGTTACATACACGAGCGAATCGAACAAGTTGAGATATATAAACACCATAAGATGGTGACAATGGAACGTAATGAAAAAATCATCTCTTTTATCATAAATTTTGGCATTAAGCTTCCCGTTAAAGACATAGAAATCAAGATCCAGGAAAGGACAGTGTTCATTGTTAGTATTAGCTTTATTTAAAGTCAGTTCGGCAGGATAAGTCTCTTTAGTGTACTTACTGAAGTCGTCATTATTGAGAGCCAATATATCATTCAAATATCTAAAAGTGTTATTAATGTTTGAATCAGATGTTGTTTCGATGGGTCTTTGCTGATTTAATCATAAATTGTAACTCGTAACAATACAGAAGCCGGTGGTGCACAGTTAGTCCCCATTGGAATTCCGATAACTTGACGATATACGGAATCTCCATAGCGAACAAAAATGTTATCTAGTAAAAATTCAAGGGCAGTTAAAGTATCAAAGCTGGTCTAATTGACATAGTTACTTTGTTTGTTGTTACTAAAAAGTGACCTAAAAGAGCTTGAACGTATATATTCGCATTCTGACTTTTTAAATGCCCATTTAATGAGGTGTGTGAATTTTTTCTTAATAAGATTATGAGGCAAAATGGTATATAGGATAGAAAAATCAAAACTTTGAACAGATTCGAAATCACCAATATAAGCATGCAATTTATCAAGTACTTCCAACGAATTTTTGACACTCCAAAAGTAATTAATTTCCACTATTTTCAAAGGTCAAAGTTTTGTGCAGCTTTGGAAGCCAGTACATAGTTGGAACTTTCATTGTATTTGGTTCTGCTTGTAAAGAGGTAGCTAAAAGTTTATGTTTGTTACAGATGTCATTTTTCGAAAATGGAGTCAGTTGGAATGTTTGTGAATCCGTGATTTCCTTTTGCAGAACCTCAATGTAAAATTTACGTCAAACAATAATGATATTATTAGCAGCCTTATCAACCGGGACAAAAACAAATTCCTTGGCGAGTTCTTTTAGCTTATGTTTGATACGAGAAATAGGGCTTTTATGGTTGTTGTTAGGAGTAAAATGTTCTTTAAAATGTTGTATACGTATATTAACGTTTATATTATACAGTACGTGATAAAATGTACCGTTAGATTACAGATATTGCATAAATATTTGACACAATGACACGAATTTGAAATTATTCATCTGCAGTTACAGAAATTGCATGACATGACTTGATTTAATTATCAAATGAGTTATACATCCTAATCTAAGGTACTTTTTCTCAATATAAGAAGATGAAAATTGCACAATTATCGGAAATATGCATAGACGGCAAAGAATCACATGTATTATTTTCTGAAATTATGATTGTTAAAAAGCTATTGACCTTTTAAAATGATGCGTGTGAAATCTACAAACTAAATTATGGTAATGAATAGTAAAATGATATTTATAGATGATATTCACTCTGTCCTTTTTATATACAAATAAATTCACATTATATGTTAAAGGACTGGATAAAACGTGAAAAGAAATGCAGGAAAAAGATAACTATGAACTTAAACCACTTTCATCAAATAACAAAACTGTGGCGAAAAAGTGCGAGAATTTAAAACGAACGGGATGGTCAAACAAAAAAGAATTTGTTTTAGCATGTGTTGGCTATTGTATAGGATTAGGAAATGTCTGGAGGTTTCCTTACTTATGTTATAGAAATGGAGGCGGTGGGTATTAAAATTATTTGATATTGACTTTTTTCTACCGGCATATTCTCAATTAATGTCTATGTATAATTCTGATAATATACCCGGAGTTACAATTCCACGTAAATATTTAACCAAAGGTTCATTTATGAGGCATTCAGGAGCCAATTCAGCAGAGAAAAGCTTTTGTGTTGTACTCTTTACCAAAAGAACTCCCAAACAATATGGATAGTCGTACAATGTTATTTACGTATTTTGTCAATTTTTAAAACAATTTAATATATTCGATCGTTCGTTATAAAATGAAAAAGAAACCGCGATGAGGAATATTCGAAAATTAATTTAAACCTTTAGAAAACAAATTAGTGCCATTATTACCAATTTACTTGTGCTCCTTAAAAAACAATCTAATAAATAAAAAAAAATTATAACTAATCCAGAAAACTATGATACATCTCACATATTTGAAATAAGTATTAAACTAGACGCTCACATAGGTTCTTATAAATCTCTTATTCTACCTTGTCCGTACAGATCAGACTACAACATGTATTGATCTAAGACCGCAAAAAACATGTCTTTAGTAAGATGAGATACAGGCACATCGTATCGGTCAACCAATTCGTAATGGTGACCGTAAAGCGTATGCAGTGTCGATTTCAATTGTTTTCCTTCCTCATAACTTTGTTGGATCAGTTTTTGTGTCAGGGGCACAAGAAAACTTTTGAATTCTTCCAAATGTTTAGAATAAATAGACCTAAACTGGTTATAAGTAGAGTTGGGAGGTAGCAGTGCAATTATCCCCTCGTCCCATCTTCCACTGCGTATGTGTATAGTAAGTATCATGAATTCATTATATAATTCGGTCGGTATATGTTGTCAACAGGTCAAGGTTGAATCTTAATCTTCCACCGTTTTACATTATAAGTAATAGGAACAACTCTTCTTCCATAAGAATTCAGTTGATTAGATATAAATATGTACTAATTTGAGCCCGTGATCTCAGCTGTCTTATATTCATTAGGAATTCTTTTTGTATAGAAATATTTTTTCAAGAAGAAGGTGCTATTAACTGCAGGATACACAGTGTCGTTCATAATAATATCATCTTTTAATACTTGACTTTCATACAATAATATACAAAGGGAAAATGTCAAGAAAATGTAGGATATAATTATTTTCAAACGGTTAACAACCTCCAGTATCTTACCTCTTAACAATATCTTATATTAAAGTGCATCAATACACATCGGTTAGTTTTACATTGATACTGAAATGGAGACTGAAAAATACAAATTTGAAACAACGTCTGACACGAACGAAGACGTAATGAAGGATGTGCGGGTGCAATGGTCAAACAAAGCAGAATTTGCTTTATCATGTATTGGATTTTGTATTGGATTAGGAAATGTTTGGAGGTTTCCATATCTATGCTATAAAAATGGAGGTGGTTCGTATATTTAACATCTTTCTTACTCATAGTATGTAAACACTGCAGCAGAATATACTTTCCGTTGGAGGGCAACAAAACATGTAAATAAGCAAAGAGAAATCTTAACAATTAAATTACAATAAATACGATTTGTAGATTTAAGATTTCATTATATATATACTTCCAATCTTCTTATTGACCTTCCACAATTTTTTCTCGATTTGTGTGATTGGGAACCAAGGTTAAGTCAAATATTTCAACCCTCTCACCCATCTTCGAGAGAGGATGACAATTCGACCCTTGATCTCTCTAATTTCGACATCCGTTGTGCGACTCAAATCGTGTAATTGATGTTTATATTCCATAGACGTTGGTAAGACTTCGTATCATGGTATATTGGTAGGTGTCTCCTGTTTAAATCTCATACATAATGAAATTTATAAATCAATGGTACATAAAAATGGCAAAGGCTAAGTTTTTGAATGACAGTGGCTACAAGAACTTTTCGATTGTAACAGAATTGTTATTGATTTTTTTTTAAATCCACCAAGACAACACAGAAAAACTACAGAAAAAGCAACATAAATCTTAAGAGAAGAAAATTTGGTTAACTCATGTGCTTTGGAAGGCGTAAAAATCCGGCGATAAATCGTTATCCACCAAAGAGAAAAAGAGGACGGAATTGTGTCTATAGTGTCTACATGACAGAGGGACATAATTATCTGTAGTCATCAGTGGAACCCATATTTCATAACTGTTACCATAATCATGATAACGCCCATGAGACTCCCAAGTGATGATGATTACAATTTAGAACCCTTGGTTGAAAGATAATCGTTAGCACCCCTCTATCATAGAAATTATGATAGGAAACGCAAGGGCAACGGTAAATATACAACCAGGATAGTAACCAAACCTTGAATTATTTAATGAGACGACATGTACATCATCTACGTTGTGGAGTGCCAAGTTAAAAGATGATACTATCATCTTTTCATTGTTCTTGGGGTTGGACTTATCAGAATAAAGGAGAAAGACGAAGTCAAGAAGATCTGATTTGGTTCAAATAGGATGCCGATATCTATCAATTTTGATTTACCGCTTTGTTAAAAAAATCATTGTCTCTACGTTGGTTAATTATTTTATGAAACAAAGTAAGACGTATTCATTCAGTTGCAACATGTACAGTCTTATTACCCATTCAGTATTCAAATTCTACAAATTAATAAAACAATTAAACGGTTAAACAAAGTGTGACAAATTGCCTTTCAATTTTTCTCGTACACATGCTTATGAGAAAGCGGAATAGGGAAACTTTTGTTTACATTGTATTGTTCTATACTTATTATTAGAATATAAATGTCGCAGCTCAAATTGATATTTATTAAACACTTGTAATAATTGTTATATAGACAAAATATTAGCGGGCAGTACAACTACTGGGAACTTTTTGCATACCACAGTACTATAACCTTGAATTTACTTTTGCAATATGAACCTTTATATTCTAAACAACACTAGTGATCGTGAGAAAGCGGCGACCTAAATACTTAGGTGAAACGTAGGCTGACTAACACGTGACAAAACATTAATCTTAATGTCTTATCTTTCAGAATCGAGCAGTTTCAAACAGAATAATTATTTTGCTTTTTTTTTATGATTATGATCAAATGCATTATTAAAGATATACGCTTATAAAAATAAGGATGAAGGTTTCATTTCCATTGAGACACTGTTTAAGCCGACAATAAAAGACGAGAATGTGTTCAAATATATGTCATCGTTAACAATGATTAAAACCCATATCGTTTAGTAAGCTATAATAGGGCACAGTGTGACAGGAGAAACTTTTCAAAAGTGAAAAACAGATGGCCTGATATCTTCCAAAAGTAATCAAAACAATTATGACAGACAGCAACCTAGATCAACTACACAGACACATTACAAATATGGCGAGGATAAACATGTTTGTGAGCGATCAATCCTACCCTTACCCGGGGCAATGTATTACATGAAAACATAAGAACAAACTGTGAAAATTTGTTTGAAAGGGTTTCACTCATCAGATATGTACTAAGTTCAAATAAAACTAACAAAACAAACAAACACATACATAAAGTACCGATCTTAGATTATTCAAAATTACTACAATCTAGTTATAAGTCAAATTTCACCTTATAAATACACTCTTTTTTCCCAGAATGAAATATGAATCAGTACTCACATTATTTGAAAATTTATTCAATGTTTAATCAACCCACATTCTGTTTGATTTGTCGCAGGTCAAGAGGCTGCAACCAGTGTTTGTCGTTGGTTTCCTTTTTTGATTTTTTTTTCACACTCTGTAATAACGGGCCTCATATTGCTTACTATACGGTATGGGTATGCTCAAATATGTTTTTGATATGCCATTCGAGTTAACGGCGGCCTTATTTTCTATCGGCAGTTCAACTTCTTTAGTCTTCTTTCAGTATTCTCGATTTTGTGTTGTTTATCATTGATTTGTTTGTACTTGGTTTCTGTTATACCGTTAATATAGAGTTGTTTTTTTTTTTTTACTGGTTTTAATTTATGTACCTTTTGTTATTCTCCTGACATCTAAAAAGATTAGTTTAAAGTACCCCTCCATGTGTGCCTGTCCAAAGTAAGAAAACTAAAAGTGGTTGTTTTGTGTAATATATTTTCAAAGTTGTAAATAGTAAGTGTAATAGTATCAATTAAGAACCAGGAAACACACAAAACAACTAAAAGTAGCCAGCGCTTCATAACCATCAAGATAAATAACATTAACAAAAGAAAAAGTTTTCCCTTTGTATCATCAATTTTGGTAGAAAGAAGACCATGTAAAATTCTAAAATCTCGTTATAAAAAAAGACATCGTTGACTATACAAGCTGGATTTTGTAAGATTGAGTTCAGACGGAATATATTTCGTTTGTATATCTTTCTATTGAACTGTTTACAGAAAAATATAGTCTAATGTCAAATGTACGGCACTTTTATTTATTATGTTCTTGGTCTTGGCAGAATTCGGGACATCCTCAAAAAGAAATAATCAAATCAAAATTTCTTAATGTGTCGATTCAAAGGATACTTATTTTTCATCAGTTTTACATCCGCACGACTTAAATGTTGCAAGAATTGATTCAATTTTATTAACTTTCAGGGGCATTTCTGATACCATACTTTCTCACAGCACTTTTTGCAGGGCTGCCAATGTATTTTATGGAGCTGGCATTGGGACAATGGTTAAGTATTGGCGGACTAAGCGTTTGGAAAATAACCCCAATTTTCAAAGGTAATTTGAACTGGGTATATATGTTTTATGATCTACTATTGATGCCAAACAAAAATTGTAAGAAAGCTAAAATATTAGTATCAAATTTTATATTAGTAATTGTTTTAAAATTTTATATCAATTTTCATTTCAATTTTAATTTACCACATCGTTTAGAAAAAGATATAACTGCACACAATGCATATACAGATAACAAACGTACTCCTTTTTGCGAGCGTCAACCTGGAATCAGAATACCTATTTTTCTAATTTTTTGTCATAAGTTGCAGTAGAACCGTAATTTGAGATATCTTTCCTAACTGGCGAGGAAAAATTTTGAATTTAGAGATTGAAGGTAACAAATGAAATCTACGGTTGATAATGAACAATTAAAGTCCGAAAATATAATTATTATGTCATACATTTTTAGTCAAGAATCAAATAGAATTTGTAGGCACAATCACATCAAATATTCAGAGTAGGCAGTCATATAACCAAAAACTACAATGTCGCTTGAAAAGAATGACTCATATAAGTTTTGATACAGTTCTATGTCAAAATTTATTAAATTTAATTATATGAAAATTTAAGAATATTATCTAATGAATAAACAATAACAAACTCCGCATTGCGAATGCGAACCGTTAGAGATTTACACAGGCTTATGGAAGGACATGTTTTCAGTCTTTAAGACAAAAACATTTTAGCCAATTTTAACGACACCCGTCCTTGCTTAACACGTATAAAGGAATTAACAAAAACAACAGCATAACTCTAAAACCTCTAGCATAACTTTATGCCAAATAGTATTCTTCATAAGTCTATCGTTGCATCCATCTAAACTTATTTTAGACATCATAGGTACCCCATAGTCACATATGCAGACTAAAGTGATTTATATTATTCTGGTGAACATAGTGAAATGCTGTTTACTGTGTTTGCATTCCTTTATTTCTCATCCAGATTATTTTAATCTATGTTAAGTTTTGGGAAAAAGAGTGATCGAGTCTTTTTTTTTGGGACAGTTTTTCACTCTGAATGATCTTAGGTTCCTTGTTTCTTGTCGTCCATTATTTTAGAGCTAATAATTTCGTGTGCTCCCAATAGTTTTCCTCTGTGCTAGGTTGTCATTATTAGTGCGATCGCTGCTTTGTAGAACATCACAAAACGATGTTGTTTACTGCGTTCCTGTTATGGTTACAGCATTAGATCTGAAAGCATTTTTGTAACACAGCATCTATCTATAGAATTATAGTCATGTTTCAGCACTTATCTTCTTATGGTGATACAAGATCTTTTCCTCCCCGATGGTATCAATAGCCCAGTAGATCTTCTCTTTTGACGTGAATTTTCATTAACAATAAAATATTAAGTGTTTACAAAACTTTGAATTGTTCGATCGAAATACTAGAGATTTTCTACCCCTAGGAATAGATTACCTTAGCTGTATTTGGTAAAACATCTCGAAAATTTTGGTCTTTTATATTGGTGGATAGTTGATTTTGGGCCCTAAATATGCTCTTCATCGTCGTATTCTATTTGGCCTTTTAACTTTTTTGATTGGAGCTTCACTAAAGAGTTTTTTGAAGACAAAACTCGTGTCTAGCGTCCAAATTATAAGCCGGGTATCTCTAATGAATGTGTTTACCACATCTCCTTATGTAGAAGTTATCTTCTAGAAGTCTTCTATATAAAATAGTAAATATATTGATACACACAATATAGTGCTATAACTGTTGTTAGATAATGTTTTCTCCGAAATTGCCTTGTGTGATTTCTGATTGGATAGAACAAGGTTTTTTATAAGTTGTATTTTTGTTTTTTGTTGCTGTTTTGTTTTAATTTTAGCATCAATGCACTCTAACATTACCTTGTCGTACAATTTAAGTTAAAATCTAGTGACTTGAGCAGTATGAAAATGTAGACGGCGGACAAAATGCTTTCGTTATAATTGTCATATAGAATGAAAGGAGGGCGGGATGGTTGTGAAGACAAACGTAAAACTCCCGACGGAGTGAGGCCAGGTGTCGACATCGTATTGTGAAACATGCAAGTAGAAAAATAATCGATAATAACATTTTAAAAAATTTAACGGTTAGTTAATCCTAAATTTATGCATTGGTTGCTTGTAGGGGTTGGTTATGCTTCAGCAGTGATGGCCGCCTGGTTGAATTGTTATTATATTGTCATTTTGGCCTGGGCAGTATACTACCTCTTCAGGTCTTTTACTTCCATCCTACCTTGGTCTACATGCGATAATGAGTGGAACACTGCAAATTGTATAGCAAAGTACCAGAAACTTGCTAACTGTACGAACGGAACATCTTGGACAGTAGGGGTGAATATGTCTTCAAATATGTCCGAATGTTCAACAAATGGGATAAATTCGACATCACCTGTGAGAGAATTCTGGGAGTAAGTAACCACTGATAGTTAACACATTAAGAGATCTATTCAATTCAAATGTTAACTAAAAGAGGTACAAAACGATCAGTTGTTTGAACCACTAAATTGCCGACATATAGTAAAATACGTCAATTCATTCAAAATTATAATACTTTTATTGATAATTGAAAACGGTTTTATTGTCTTGTAACTTTAGATATATTGTGCGGCTAACGATGCAACTTAAGTACATAGGCTAGCACGAAAAATAATGGCGCATATTTCAGATCTATAAAACAATTCAACAGAATACGTTTCATCACATGCTAAAATAACGATAGTATAAAAGCAAAAGACCCAAATCCCTAAAAAGGGAATATCGGAAACAGTTAATATACTAACTGATCGAACAAATAAACAATGATGGTCATATTTGTGCATTTACTAGTAAGAATGACACCAATTCAGACAATATCACTAACATCATTTCTGAGCAATTTTCATATTGAAATTTCATATTGAAATAAGCTGATTAACATACCCGATTGCAATGTTAGATATCTAAGGTTATTTTGTTTTGTTAATTATAGACGCCACGTACTACAGATTAGTTCAGGTGTGGATGAGCCTGGTGATATCAGATGGCAACTTGCTTTATGCTTGCTACTAATTTGGGTTTTGTGCTATTTCTGTATATGGAAAGGAGTAAAATGGACAGGAAAGGTAATAACAGGTGGGCTGGTATTATGTGTGTACAAAGACATGCTTATCTACAGGCGATATCAAGATATGAAAAATATACAAAAAAATACATAGATTGTTTACATAACTTAGCATAAAATTATAAATTGAAATCAAACATAATATATACTGTTTTATTTCTGGTTTATGTAAGGACTACGCTCAGCGGTATAAAGTACTAGCAACACATACATGTGCTTAGATTGTATTTAGCTAGTGTAGTCGTTATATGAATAAAAGTAGATACGGGTATAAGTTAATGATGCAGTAGCTCAACAACACATAAAATACCGTAAAGCAGTTTAAATGTTTTGATAAGGTCTTCATATATATATAGAGCTCTAAAAAGAGAGGCGGAAGGTAGCAAAGAGATATTCAAACTGATAAGTCGAAGACAAACTGACAACGCCATGGCAGCGCCGAAAAACGACCAAAAGGCAAGCAACAGTATACAAAACAGAACATAGAAAACTAAAGACGAGCAACGAAAACCCAACCTAAAACCTTTTATATACAAGATACAAGGTTTTAGCACACGCACACAAACCAATAGAGAAAAAAAAAATACTGGAAAGAGTAAACACATAGTTCTTGATCTTGATTAAAAATGTTGAATGGACAATTCTTTATATAAATGATAAAGAAACGGTTCAGCAAAATCATTGTTTTATATAAATAAAGAAAGATGTATGGCAATCTACACGAAATAAACAAAATCCAACAGATAAAATCATCAAAACAAGACCTCTTACGAAAGCATGCGGTCTTAGACGAATGACAATTTGAAAATTTTGTCAACCTCTAATTGAACTAATTAAAGCAAGAGTTAGATAGATTATTAATGCAAAGTCAGTTAAAAATGAAGACAGTCATTTATTTCCCCCACATGACTATTCAATACATTTACATATTTGATTAATATTTAATGTATTTATTTTTTGTTATTAGGTAGTATATTTCACGGCAACATTTCCATACATACTACTGATAGTACTACTGATAAGAGGGGTCACATTACCAGGGGCAAGTGAAGGCATCAAGTTTTATGTATTACCTGATATCAACAAACTAAAAGATTCCAAGGTAAAACATCAGTCAATTCAAATAATGAAAAATTGATACCTGTATATAAGAGACATTGTTCAATGGTATACGCATCAGAGAACCAGTATGATCTGTTTGGAGTGTCAAACGTCGTCTGTATATCCTTTGTTTTTTATCTGAAACCACTGGATATACTTTTAATTAACTTGGTCTAAGTCATTCCTATACTGAACAATTTTGAACAACACAAATCATTGTCGTGGCTTTTGAAATCCTATACAAAGAATTGAGTAATTGCTTAAGAGTTATATATATTGCAGGTATGGATAGATGCTGCAACACAGATATTCTTCTCTTATGGACTTGGTCTAGGTTCCCTGATAGCCCTTGGTAGCTACAATAAGTACAATAATAATGTCTACAAGTACGTATGCATCAATAATACACTCTTCAGTGAATTCGAGCACCTCAGACATTCTAGTGAACTTTACATTAAGGATACCAGTAGGTTCACTTCATATTCACTGAACATGCATGAAACATTTGCAATTAGAGGTAAAGCAAACAACAATCAATCAATCAATCATATCTATATCTTTTTCTTGAAACAATGATCTCTAACAAACGTGTTAATTTCAGTTTTCATATTGTCAATTTCCCATTTCACAATAGAAACATACCCTTTGTCCTATTAGATATTGCGTTTACATATCTCAATTAATACGTTATGCGCTTGCTTATTCATATTATATGAATTTATTTAACACGGGTACGCTCCTAACGGAAAAATCCGCCAACAAAGTTTTGGGTAAGAACGACTGAAATCGACATAATAAAATTTTAACGTTGCACGATTTTTGTGTGTCTCAACTTACGAGAGACATGTTTTCGTGGTCTTAGATTGATAGAAAAAATATCGTCTGATATTCCGATTATTTCATGACACTTAGACCAAGTCTGAATTCGCTAGGCGGTTGATTCATGCATTACAGGAGATGCTAGCCTGACAACACCCATATGAGTTCATGGAAACCTCATCTAAAACAATCTTCGTTGAGTATATTAAAAATGGGTTGAAGATTTTGGAACATCGATAACCTACTTTTACTGCAGCTTATTTGAATAATATCATATAGTTTGTATATGATGTATCTATTTCTATTTATCACAGAGATGCTTGTTTGATATCAATGTTGAACAGTTTTACCAGTATGTTTTCTGGATTTGTAATTTTCTCTGTTGTTGGGTTTATGGCACATGAACAAAATAAACCAGTGTCCGAAGTAGCTGCGTCAGGTATACCTTAATTAATCTGTGAACAATGTTAGGTTTTACTTGTTTACTGCATCAAAATATATTGTAATACATCATAATATGTAAATATTTCTTACCGTTTCATTCGATTAGATATTTCCTAGTGATTTTCTTGTAAAAAACTAATATATAAATATATTATGTTTAGATCATTTGTATATTTGATTAATTCCTACGATGTTAATAAGTAAACAAAGTGTATATTGTAAGAAACAAAGCCTCGTTGATTAAGTTTACAATTGTTTCAGATGTTAATCTTATGTCATAAACAGTTACTTTCCAATAAGTGTTTGTTTGAGATATAAGATTAAATGTTACTAGAAAAAAATATATCCTAAAGTTTTGAAGAAATGCCAGTTTTTTCCACATTACTGCATTTATTTGACAGAACAATGAACTTTCTTTTCAGATAATGTTTATGATAGTATTTACATGTATTAACTTTATACAATATCTAAGCCATTCCAGTGCAATCATATTATTATCTGTGGTTAATGAGAGCTGGCTTTTGCCTCACATAAGTTGTATAATTATAGAATAGCAGTAGAAAAAAAAACATAGACGATAAAACATTCTCTGACTTTGCTACTTTTTGTATAAATATTCCAAGAACAGATAGTTATGTGTGGTAGAAGCACATTATTGTTCAGTTTTAGAAATGGAAGTTAAATGGCTACGTGGCCATCTTCGTTTCAATTTACATACAGTATCCATATCAATAAATACTTTATTATGAAAATTCAAAACCTTTTTTCAAGACATTCCTCAAAAAAATATTTCCTTGGGTTTCAAAACTTCTACTGAATTATTGGATATGTCCATAAATGAATCAAGCAAGTATATTCTGGTCAAAAGTCTGGATACTTAAACTGTATACGTATGTTTATATGACTTGGTTTTAGGTCCTGGTCTAGCATTTCTAGCTTATCCGAGTGCTGTTATCCAGCTTCCGTTATCACCACTATGGTCTTTTCTATTTTTTCTGATGATAATAATGCTGGGAATGGATAGTCAGGTATTTACGTTTGAAAAAACAATTAATTTTATCATCTGTTTCATTTTGTTACTTTATTTTTATACTTTCAAAATGTTATTCTTACTTACAACTTTTATTCAATTCAATAAGTAAACATGAATTATTTGAATTTGTATACATCAGTACAATAACGCCTATTGAAACCAATTTTCACACTCCATTCATTCAAGCAATTATTTTTGTTCTATTGATTTTCGCTTTCGTCCAAGCGGATTTTAACAGCCTATAGTAGTCAGCATTTCTGTGTTGATATATAATATGAATGATCTCTCATTTTCTATTCACAAAATTTTGAATTATTCGATCAATTTAGATCTTTCTGTTCTCAGGCATAGATAGCTCTTTAAATTCGTAATTATTTATCATTTCAACTGTTGATTCCAGGACCACTAATGAGTCTTATGTACTCAAAAACGCGCGTATAGAGCGTAAAACATTATCAGCCTGGAATCTTTAACACACAAAAAGCAAAAACAGACCAAAAACTTCTTATGGTTATCACATATATGTGTGGTTTCTTTTGTAATTAAGTAAAGAATCAGACAAACATACTACATTTGGGGAACAATGTATTCAACACTACCGGTTCCTTCTCGCCTACTATCATTTATATTAGACAAACTGAGAGATATGATGTAAATAGAAACAATAATCAAACATATGTATCAAACCTCTTGAAAACCTAATTTCAATTTTGTCGTAACTTAAAATGAGGCAGTATCATTAAGTTTATGATCTTACTTTGAAAGAACTTTGTTCCATTTTTTGTAGTTTTGTACAATGGAAGGATTTTTTACAGCTATTATTGACGAATTTCCACATCATTTTCGCAAGCGACGAGAATTATTTATAGGAGCTGTATGTTTTATTTCTTACCTCGTTGGACTCTCAATGATATCAGAGGTGAGATTATATGTTTGTAATAAAGGGTTTTAACATATACATATTTTAAGTTATAAATTACAATCAACAGTATAGTTTACCGATGTTGAAATCTCATATATTCATTTAGAAGCTTCTAAAGTCTTAAGACACAAACAAAGATGAAAAACCAATTAAGAGAATCATGAGATTCAAAAGGAGTGCGACTATGTGTGTCGATAGGGTAAACGTTTTCTGTTATGTATGCATTACCAACCATGTGAATGCACCCTCAGTAAAAAAATAGTAAATCTACAGGGCAGACGACTATACTGGGTTCTAAACATCCAAGACCGCAACAAAAAAAAACATGTCGCTGGTCATTTCAGACACAGAAACATCGTATCAGTCAACTAATTTGCAGTTCAAAGTTAAGTCGTTCTCTTAGTAGGGGGTTTTGACTACATCCAAACTTTTAAAGTCAACGGTAACAATTAACTCAATGGTAACAATCCTAAGACACAGTGTTCGAACTATATTTCGCACTTACAAAGATATACAGTTCCTTCTGAGGAATTTTGATTTGAGATCAAACTGTTTAGATATCAATGGCAACTATACCTACATGGTGACAATTGCCTTGGACCGCAGAGTACGAAGTGTGCCATTTGTACTAAGATATATCTTTCCCTCCAAGGGGTGGGGGTGTTGAAATAAAACTATTTAGATATTATCGGCAACAAGGTTTACAGGACGACAATCGCTTAATTAAGACCGCTTGGTCAATTCAACTGTAAGAAAATACAGTTTCAATTAACCAGGTGATACCTTTCCTCTTATTTTTTTGTATGGTGTTCATTAATAATACTACATATTTCAAACCGTTTTCACAACTATTATATTGATGGATATAAAGTCATATATATAACGTCAATGGTTACGTGACGATATAAATTATATTCATTAATGAAATGAGATAGCATATGAATATATAAAAAAATACTTGGGGTAGTTACATAATAGTATATTGTACATTTTGTTTGTACCAGATTGTATTCTGAAATTATGATTTTTATGCGTTATTTGTCCCCGTTATGAAATACATCATAATACATTCTTTGTGTCTAAATAAGTTATCAAGTTCTTTTTCTTTGCATCTATTATGATCTATTATGGTAATATCAGTAGAATATATTATCTTTGATGAGGTTTTTTACAACCACTGGGTCAATGCGACTGTTGGTGGAGGATATCACAAGCCCAGTATTCAGTACTTGTGAGTTGACATGAATTATCATAGATATCGTCATATTCATACACAAACTTCGCAAAACTTTGAATTCTTTGAAATACTAAGGATTTTCTACTACAGGAATAAATTACCGTAGCTAAATTTGGCAAAACCTTTCGGAATTTTTGGCCCTGAATACTCTTCTAACTTCGTACTTTATTTAGCCTTTTAACTTTTTTTATTCGAGCGTCACTGATGCATCTTTTGTAGACGAAACGTGCGTCTTGCGTGCAAAATTATAAGCCTAGTATGAGGGTCTTGATGGAGACCTCCATCTCTGTATTTTTTGCTCATTTAGGTCATTTTTCTCTATTTTTTATAATTTTTGCCCATTTCTCTATTCTTTATATTCTAACATCCCATTATTTACTATTCTTTTTATTCTAACATCCCATTCTTTTCTAATTCTTTTTCTCTATTCTTTACATTTTGACGCATTTTTCTGTAGTATTGCTCCATTATTATCAGTATCTATAATGTAAACCCTATCCAGACCCTTTGGTATCTTTAATGAGTTTTTTACAATCATTATTCGTCTTTATTGAAGGGCGGGATGTATGTATTTCAACTGTTTGACTACTATTCAGCTAGTGGATTATGTCTACTAACATTGATATTCTTTGAATGTATTGCTGTAGGATGGGGCTACGGTGAGTATCGAATTATTTAATGACCAACGTTTATTTGGATATACATTACTCATGGAACATTAGAGAATGAAAGTCATTGTATATAGGTAAATCTTGAAATATGGAAATTAGAATGATAAGACAAAATCGAAGTAACACAAATCAATCACACAAACATTGATAAAATATAGTCGACTCTTTTAAAAAGCGTTAACATCTTACTTTAAGTGATTTATATCAAAATTTAAAAAAATGACTTTTTCAACTCATATGGAAGAGAAAATACTAATATTTTCCCAATCATTCTATACAAATTAATAATTCAAAAATATCTACTTCTGACAATTTCTTAACCTATTTTCATGAAATATTTTTCATTCAACTCAGTTTTCTATATACATTTTCAAAAAATAGGAATGACTTTTGACATCATGCTGAACATATGTTGAATAAACAAATGCAACTACAAATCTTTTCAAAAAACATTTTGATATTAACGACTGATTTAAGAATATTTATCAAAGAAGGTTGCTTGATCATTTGTATATTGTTTGATCACACTAAATCATGAGAATATCATTTTTCATATTTTAGGGGTGGACAGGTTTTATGAAAACCTAAAGAGTATGTTTGGTTACTATCCAAGTGTATTTTTCAAGTTTTCATGGGTTGTATCAACACCTGCTCTCAGTTTGGTGAGTTAGAAAATATATTTTATTATTTTGCTATAGAAAATTTATCAGGATGGATTCGCAAGTGAAGTTTTCTGTGTCTTCTTAAAATATGTATAGAAATCCTTCAAATACTTGTGGGAAACCAAACATTGTGTCTTCTAGACTTAACACTGTACAAAATTAAAGCACTAAAGTAAACACTTAATGTCAGTACGTAAGAGTAATAAATTAATGCATATAAGTTATCAAATTCAATATCAGGATATTTTTTTTCTCTTATAAATTAATAGATGTCTGTTTTTTCAGGGAATTTTAATCTTTTCGTTGGTGAAATTTGAACCTGTAAAATATCTAGAGTATTCCTATCCGTCATGGGCTCATGTTATAGGAGGCTTTATGGCTCTGTCATCTGTCTCTATAATTCCAATATATATGGTGTTTAAGTTTGTTACTACTCCAGGAACATTTAGACAGGTAAGTGCACTAATCTTTGGACACATAGCTAAAAGCAGTGTTGAAGAAATAGTTTCACAGTAATTCAAGAGAGGTGGCAGATACAAATGAAATATTAACTCATAAGTTGAAGTAAAAATGGAAGCTCCATTGCAAAAAAATAAAACAAAAACAGACAAAGACAAGCAACAGTCTACAAAACACAACATAGAAAACTCAAGACTGAGCAACATGAACCCAACCAAATCCAGCGGTGATCTCATTTGCTCCTGAAGGGGAAGCAGTTCCCATTCTACATGTGGTACCCGTCGTGTTGCTCATGTATGTACAACTTCTGTGATAAGTCTCATTTAGTGATGCCACAATCGAGGAAAGAAGGACGTTATCGTGGTTACTACAATTGGACCATATCCAACATCTTCCGTGGAAAAGATATTCAACAATGGTTTATCCAATATAAAGTAAAATTTTCCTTTGTAATGAATATTATTTTTAATATTCACTTCACATTTCAAATGCACACTAATTATTCTCACATGACAGTTGAAGCAGAGTTTCTCTTTCAAAGTAATTATGATTATATAATTTTTGCTTTTTGTTTTTCCAGCGTGCAAAGAAATTGTTTAGACCTGATATAGAGCTACCTGGTGAACTAGGACCACCTCCATCTTACACTGCTGTTACAACTATAATAGAACAGAATCATATTCTTTAACAAGACAAAAATCTATCAAATATTTTTCAATTCCACTTATATGTTATGCCTAGTTTATGTAGCTATTAATGACATTTGTACAAATCTTTTATAACTCAATAACTTTACCGTATTAAAATGTTTGAGCTGTTTTCTGTTTTAATACAATATGATATTAATTGTACTTGATAAAGAACATATACTCATTTCAATAGGAATCAAAAACTGGGATGAATGCACAAGAAACAAAGTCACATTTAATTATAAGCCTGGTATCTTTGATTAGCCTTTTTAATACCTGTAAATAATCAAAATATCATGCAAGAATCTTTCAAATGGATAATTATAAATAGGAAGATGTGGTATGAGTGCCAATGAGGCAATTGTCTTTATTAAAAAAAAGAATGGTATGGCTACCATGGAGATAACTATTTAAAAAGAACAAAGATGTGTATAATTGTGTGATTTTTTTGTCTATAGCTAGGACCAAGTAGACCAGTAGTGAAAAGACCATAATAATAAATGCAAATAGCAATACAGGACAAACAATCTCTCATCCCACCGTCTAAATTTCCTATTCATACTGATATATGGAGACGAATGTTTTCACATGACAAACTCCAACAACTTTCTGATTTTCAGAATAATTAAAATAGTAGGTTCTGATAATAGGGAGAACATTTACATTGTTCTGTAAGTTATGATGAAATAAAATACAGAGCAGAATGATTAGAACTTTATATATATATTTTTAATGTTATTCAACATAGTTCAACATTTTTGTTTAATGTATATCTTCTTTGGACATAAGGCCTTACTATCACTTTGTCCTTTTAAGCCTGAAACATTTCGTACAACTGTGTACACATTGTACAACCATTACAATGGTGGTGGATATATCCCTGATAATTACAATGGTGGTGGATATATCCCTGATAATTACAATGGTGGTGGATATATCCCTGATAATTACAATGGTGGTGGATATATCCCTGATAATTACAATTCCTGTCATTCAACTTCAAATATAAATAATTTACACGTTCCAGGAAATTGCACCACTTATTTCTTCAATTACTCAAAGTTTGTCTTTAAACGTTCCATAACTATAGTTCATACACTGGTGGTTTCATTTCCTTTATATGTTGCGAAACTGAGAAATACTTGCACTTTGAAATATCCATAGTAATCATAATATTTTCAATATACAGAAGGGTTTCCTAACCTCTGTCTGTTCCCCAAACGAATAAAAGCTTTTATCAGTTGACTCCTATCTCCTGCCTTTAAAATATCATATGGTCCAATGAAATGTAGTGTTGCTTTATCGTCCAAGTTTAGATGACCTTTGATATGAGTACAGTATCTAGGAGATGCAGACAGACAGGTCAACATAATCTGTAAAAAAATACAGTTTTAATTCGATGAACATTACAAAATTACTTTGATGGGAAATAACATGTTCTATTTATATCTACTGTCACCATCACTGACATTACTGTAAAACGGGGACAGTCTTTAAAATTATAATTATGAAAGTCATAAGTCTAAAGCTCCTATACTAGTACCTTAATAAAACTGACTTATACATATCTGCAATAAGGAATATCTATTAATTTGAAATTTTTAACTGAAACTGGTTGAATATAACATCAAATTTATGCATCTTATTCTCTATTTTAAACCAATCCATACAATGTACTTAACAATAATGTCTTTTTTATTAAATCTTTTGGTTATTTGCTTTACTTTACTTTCATTGTTACACTTTGAGGATATTTTTTCAAAAATTAACTGATCTTGCATAGAATATCAGCAGCTTTTCTTTAATCTACCCTTCAAAATTCTGCAAATGAAAAATTTGCCTTTGTTGATAGAAAAAGATTTTTTTTCTCTAAAATAATTTTTACTCTTGTTGCACCATGGTGAGGTTTATAAAGTACAATGACAAAATTTCAAAATATTGATATCTGAAAAGAAAATAAATCAAAAACAAGTAATGTATAAAACATTTCAAAACACAATCCTGAGAATTTTTAGTGTGGGTTTTTGATATTTTTGGTCAACCAGAAACAAATTCATGAAAATTGTTTCTTGTATATGAACTTAGTATTCAAACTTATTTTAAGTTTCTAACATTATTCAATAGACCACTGAGAAGCACCGATTGATTTTTAGTTGCTTTATGTCAAATGGCCATAAGCCATTTCTGGGATAAATAAATGCTAATCTAAGTGAAGATCTATTTCCATTAGACACTGCATGCATCTTAATAGAAACATGATGTACTCCTTCTAAGACTAAGCAAGTAATAATATTTTTTTTTCTATGTTTTTGGCAAACAATCATTTTAAAGTTACAAATTAATAGCCTAGAGGAGAACCAAAAATCCTGCAAAGAAAAGTAATGAAACCTTTTAAATGTTTAGACTACAAAAATTACTTTATTTTCCATAAAAGATTTTGATAAGAATGTCACCTTATTTTTCTAAAAAAGCATTAGCCATTGCTAAAGTAACAAAAGAGAGGCAAAAGATACCAAAGGGACATTTAAACTCATAAGTAGAAAATAAACTGACAATGCCATGGCTAAAAAAGAAAAAGACAAACAGACAAACAACAGGACAAAAAACACAACATAGAAAACTAAAGACTAAGCAACACGAACCTCATCAAAAACTGGGGTTTTCTCAGGTGTTCCAGAAGGGTAGGCAGATCCTGCCCCACATGTAGCACCTGTTGTGTTGCTCATGTAAGTACAAACCCAGTGACAGGTCACATTCGGGAAAAGGGGATGGGATTGGGGTAATTTTTCTTCTCTCAGAATACAATAAAAGAGGTTTGCAAAATTATGTTAAACTCTCTTTGAAATGAAATATTGTCAAAACACGAAACATATCTTTCAACAAGAGTGCACACACTGAAATGTATCGCCTGTTTTGCTTATGGATGAATTCATGTTGAAAGTCTGTAATATGAAAGTTTACTACAAGTACATGTATCTCATTAACTTAACATTATCAATGATCCATGAAAATGAAGTCACAGTTAGATGAACCATGCCAGACACCTAAAAATCATTCCATACACCAAATATAGTGGTCCTATCACTTATAGTACCTAAAGAAAAAATCAAACCACAAAATCAACATTGACTAATGAACCATGAAAATGCGGACATGGTAATATAGACCATGCCAGACAGACATGTACACTTTACAGTCATTCCATACACCAAATATAGTTAACCTATTGTTTATAGTCTCCAAAAAATAGACCAAACCGCAAAAACTAAACATTATTCAATGAACCTTGAAAACGAGGTCAAGGTCAGATGAAACCTTCCTGGACATGTACACCTTGCAATCATTCTGTACAACTAATATAGTGACCATATTGCTTATAGTATCTAAGATATAGACCAAACCACAAAAACTAAACTTTGTGCAATGGATCATGAAATTGAGGTCAAGGTCAGGTAAAACCTGCCAGTCGTACATGTATGCCTTACAATCATTCCATACACCAAATATAGTTGACCTACTGCTTATAGAATCTGAGATATGGACTTGACCACGTAACTTTTACCTTGCTCACTGATCCATGAAATGAAGTTGAGGTCAGGTGAACCCTACCTGACCGACATGTTGACCTTGCAAGAAAGCAATATACCAAATATAGATTGTAATACCTATGTCTCGCATTCTGAGACTTTTGGCGCAGGCGAGTCAAAAATCATCTTTTATTTGCTTTTATATTTTTCTATAGTGATGCCTCCAAATGAAACAATTTTTGTGAGTTTGATACAGAAAATAAATGGGGAATGTGTCCATGGGACACAGATGATGCCCCCACTTGCATATCATATAAAGTTATAAAGGGACATAACTGAAGAACGGTAAAAGTGACATTACCCAGATTTGTTAGTGATTTGAGTTTTGTAGTAATAAGTATTGTGTATAAGTTTCATAGCATTTGGTTGAGGCCAACTTAAGTTAGAGAAACGGAAACAAAAAATTCAGCAATTTTTCCTTTTGTAAAGGGCATAACTCTAGAACAGTAAATTGACACCACCAAAAATCAAACTTTATCTGTATTTTGTAGTAATAAGCATTGTGTATAAGTTTCATAACATTTAGTTGAGGCAAACTTGAGTTAGAGAACGGAAACAAAAAATTAAGCAACTTTTCCTTTTGTCAAGGGGCATAAATCTAGAACGGTTAAAGTAACACTACCAAAATTAAAACTTGATCTGTATTTTGTGGAAATAAGCATTGTGTATAAGTATCATAACATTTGGTTGAGGCAAACTTAAGTTAGAGAACGGGAACGTAAAATTCAGCAATTTTTCCATTTGTAAAGGGACATAACTCTAGAATGGTAAAAGTGACGCCACCAAAATTCAAACTTGATCTGTGTTTTGTGGTAATAAGCATTGTGTATAAGTTTCATTACAATTGGTTGAAGCAAACTAAAGTTAGAGAACGGAAACCAATTTTGGGACGTACGGATGGACGTAAGGACGGACGTACGTACGTATGGATAAGGGTAAAACTTAATGCCCCCTCCGCTACGGCAGGGGCATTAAAATGCATGTCAATACCTTTGTTTCATGCAGTAAAATGCCAAGACACTCCTTTTTAAAACATGAATTTGCTAATCCAATAATAAGCTGTCCAATATGTTTATATAATCCTTTAATCTTTGTTATGTCCACCATCTGTGAAGTTTCATTCTCGGCAGAGACTGGAATTACCTGATTAAACTAAAAAAAGATAAAGAAACTGCAGATTTTAGTGTTGTACTATAATTCAATTTTGATATAGAGTTCCAAAGTTGTTCTGATCTTGATTTTGTTGCTAATATATTTTAGCAAATAAACAGATGTGCCAAGAGCACATGATAGGCCCTTATTGTTGCAAAAATAAAATGGGATATTTAGAAGGCATTTAATCAGAAGCAAATAAAATGGTTCTGTTGAAAAACATGCATGATAATACCCTTAGGTATACAAGTATTGTGTCAATAATGACTGTTAAAATTCCCATAACTCTGGAATGACAAACTAGAAAATTTTCAAAATTAAAAGAGTACATTCACCAATTCCTACAACAGTGTTCAGTTTGTAGTAATTGTTCCAAGCATACTATTATCAGAATGCTTATGACATCTTTACCCTAAATCTGTTGGATGTGTACAAATTGATACTTTTATCTGGGAGAACATGATTTATTCATTAGTTGTAATTGGCTTTCATCTAGCTTTCATGTAACTGCAATTACTCTTGTTGCGGTGTCTATTGTTTTTATGTAAGTGTTTTTTTGTGTCTTGTACCAATCTTTTGAGTTAGGCCTATTGCAACTGATTTTTAGTTAGTTCTTATGTAGTGCTGTTAAAACACTGTCCCAGGTTAGGGGGAGGGTAGAGTGCTCACAAACATGTTTAACTCTGCCACATTCTTTATGTGCCTGTCCCAAATCAGGAGCCTGTAGTACAGTGGTTGTTGTTGGTTCATGTCTGTCATATTTGTTTTGTGTAAATTGTTTTGTTATAAATTAGGCCGTTTATTTTTCTCTTTTAGTTATTTCACATTTCTCATGCTGGGGCCTTTTATAGCAGACTATATATATAGCTATACAATTATGTGTTTTTCTCATTGTTGAAGGCTGTACAGGGGCTTATAATTGCTTACTACCACTTCATTTGAACTTTGGTTGATAGTTGTCTCATTGGCAACCATACCACATCTCCCCATTTTTATATAGCTAGTGCATGACATTCAAAAAATGCCTTTTATCTGAGGATCAAAGTCCCATAACTCTTGAATGACATATCAGAATTTTTTTTTTAAATCGAAGGGTGTTTTATGTTTACAAATTCCAACAACTATGTAAAGTTGTTAGTTTAGTAAATCAATCCAATCAAACTCAAACTATGGTACAACATGTGAAAAATTTACTTAAATCTGACAATAAAAAGCAGTAACTCTGGAACAAAATAACAGAAAATAAAAAAAAAATAAAATACTCTGCAGATCACACCTAGATACGACCACAGAGGTCGAACCCTGAACAGTTGGGGCAAGTATGGACACTACACTTAAGCTTGATACAGTTCTGAATTAGGATTGTGATTAAATATTTGATACAGCATAGGTTTCTGTCACAGAATGAATGTATTCAAAGAACTGAAAAATTTGAAATTGGATTTTACCTATTATGGTCCAATATCCAAAATCTAAATACATGGTTAGATTCAGCATATACAAGTACATTAAGAATTTAATTTCTTTATTAATGGACAATATTAGCTAAGTTTTTAAAGGGGTTTGCTTCATAATTTTTTTTTTACATATATATATATAAAAGCATTCTGAACATTAATTTTTAAAAAAAAGTATACAGAATAACAAATGCAAACAAACCTAAACAAATTTCTTCAAAGAATTTACGAAAAAAAAAAAAAAAAAAAAAAAAAACAATTTCCAAAATATCATTCATCATTAATACAATGCAGGCAGAAACCCAGTTGAGATTAAACAAAAGAAATGGAACTCTTTGTTAGAGAAGGTAAAAAAGGCAAAGTTGGTAAATTTGAATTGTTTACATCTGTTTCTATGGGCTTCAAAAGTTTAATAAATGTGCCTAATTTAGGATTTTATGCATGTTATGTATGTGTTTTTACTTCAATTATTGAATTGAGCTTCGAGATATTTGTAAACTTTTAAATTATAGACAAATTTTCACAAAACAGTTGATTGTGGTAGGTGCAAATTCTCGTGGATCTTTTTTGTGCATAAGCATAAATTCCACAGAAAAAAATTCCAAAGAAGATAATCGATTTATCCTTTTAAAGCATCAATTTGCATCTCTGCCCCGGTGACAGTTTTTTGGGAAAATATCCCCAAAATGGGCAATAATTTCATCGAAAAGAGAAAGTGGAGTACACCTTTTTAGGTTTAGGCGTGTTTGAGTTGACTTTTCTGTCTTGAAAAGGTATAAAAGAAAAATATTTGATATTTAGGCTGTAGGTTGATACAATAATATTAAACATTTACCGTACTAAAAGGTGAAATATATGGGTCAAGTGAATTACCTTTCTAATGAGTCATAACAACAGAGTAGGTGTGTTCGTATAACAAATTTTTACTAAAAGTACTTGACTACTAACTTTTCTGGTGGATCTTAAAAATGCATAACTTCAAAAAAAATTCATTTTTTGTGTGTGTTATCTAGGGTGATTATTCTTCAACCTCTGAAAATTTTTAGTCTGCCCTTCAACTAAATATTTAATTAGAATTTTTTTAAATATTTTTGAACTTTCGAAATTCCCCCTGACAACTGATCAGACAATAGTTTTTAGTTGAACAAATGTATAAAAGTACATTAAATGATGCTCAAAAGCTAGTACCCCGGTAGATACATTTGTCTTTTAAAATACAACTGGTATATAAGGATCGTATTGATACTATGTGGATAAATTGATCGGTTTGCAAGGGACAAATTGACAGCGTGTCATCACTACAATGGCTTCCATTTTTACGATTATAAAAATTAGGTGGCGTAATAGGGAGATAATTTTGACGAAGTAGAATCCTGACTAAATGAATGTTGCATAAGAACTTAATATTTTGAAATTGGACTTTTACCTGATATGGTCCAATATCCAAAATCTAAATACATGGTAAGATCAAGAATTGAATTTTTGATGAAATCAAACAAAATTTAATTTTGGACCCTTTGGACCTCAGTGTGGACCAATTTGATAATGGGGCCAAAAATCCAAAATCTAAATACACAGTTTAATAGATTCAGGTTATTTAAGAACCCAATAAATTCATTTTTTGTTGAAATCAAACAAAGTTTGATTTTGGACCCTTAGTACCTCAATGTGGACCATACAAAAACGGGGTCCAAAATTCAAAATCTTTATACATGGTTAGTTTCGGCATATTAAAGAACCTAAAAAATTCAAGACTTTGAATGAAACCCCATTAAAATTGCCCAAGAAATAAGCAATTTATACAAAGCATTAAAAAAGTATTATTTTTAGCCCCTTTTTCCTAAACAGTTAAAGCCATAACCCCCAAAATCATTCCCAACCTTCATTTTTTGGTATGGAACCTTGTGGTACAATTTAATAGAGATCTATACACAAGTTATTGTCCTGAAACAAGAAAAATGATAGTTTTTGGCCCCTTTTTAGTCCCTAAGGGAGCTACCATTTGACTTTTATGGGGGGGCTAGGATGAAAAATTTTGTCCTGCCTTTTTATTTTTCCCTTAATTCGGTCCTGCCTTTTTATTTTTCACTCTATTCGATCCTGCCTTTTTTTTAGTTTATCCTGACTTTTTTTTTTTACATAAATTGTCATCCTGCCTTTTGTTTTTGCAAATAATCTCATCCTGCCTTTTGTTTTTGCAAATAATCTCATCCTGCCTTTTTTTTTACTCAAAACTCCTGTCCTGCCTATTTTTTTCAAATTTCATCCTAGCCCCCCCATAAAAATCAAATGGTAGCTCCCTAATTCCTTAACAGTTAGGACAATAAGCTCCAAAATCATTCCCAACCTTCCTTTTGTGGTATGGAACCTTGTGATACAATTTCATAGAGATCCATACACTTATATTCAAGTTATTGTCTGGAAACAAAATGTCTTTGGACGACGATGACACTGACAATGAGATAACATTATATGAACGCAAAAAAAGCTTCCTTTTATCTATCCCAACAAGTATGTAAAGTTTTGAGGAAATCAATCCAGGCATACTGGAGTTAGTGCACGATATGTGAAAAAATTGCCCTAATTCAAACACTTAAAAGTCCTGTAACTCTGGAATCAGAAAGCAAAAAAAAATTTCAAAATTAAAAGGGAGCCAAGCCTGTTAATTTCTTCTGTCAATCCTAATGTTTTGTTAATAAAATTGAGAATGGAAATGGGGAATACGACAAAGAGACAACAACCCGGCCAAAGAGCAGATAACATCCGAAGACCACCAATGGGTCTTCAACGCAGTGAGAAAATCCCACACCCGGAGGTGGTCCTCAGCTGGCCCCTCAATAAAAATGTGTACTAGTTCAGTGAAAATGGACATCATACCAAACTCCAAAACATATACATGAACTAAAATAAAAAAACATACAAGACTAACAAAGGCCAGAGGCTCCTGACTTGGGGCAGGCCCAAAAATGTGGCGGTGTTAAACATGTTTTGTGAGATCTCAACCCTCCCCCTATACCTCTAGCCAATGTAGAATATTAAACACACAGTAATACGCACAGTAAAACTCAGTTTAAAAGAAGTCTGAGTCCGATTTCAGAATAGGTAACAAAAGAAACTAAGCAAAATGACAATGATACATAAATTAACAAAGGACTACTAGCAGTTACTGACATGCCAGCTCCAGACCTCAATTAAACTGATTGAAAGATTATATCTTCATCATATGAAAAACTACATGACTTGTTAAAATAAATTTGAGTTACCTTACAAACTGTTGGTGGATGGACAGACATTGGTATACCATAATACTTTCCATCTTCTATGGTTATTTAATAGTTCTATAAAAACTAGACAAGAGTGCACATGCTGAAATGTCTCGCCTTCTTTACTAATCATTGATATTATGTTGATAGTCCTAAATATAAAGCTTTATTACAACTGTCACATAAACTTAACATTAACCAAGTAAACTAAACATTGACCAATGAACCATGAAAATGAGGTCAAGGTCAGATGAACCATGCTAGGCAGGCATGTACAGCTACCAATTCTTCCATACAACAAATATAATTGACCTATTGCTTATAGTTTAAGAAAAACAGACCAAAACACAAAAACTTAACACTGAGCAATGAACCTTGAAAATGAGGTCCAGGTCAAATAAAACCTGTGTGACTGCCAAATAGATCATAAAATATTTCCATACACCAAATATAGTTGAACTATTGCATATAGTATTAGAAAAAAGGACCAAAACTCAAAAAACTTAACTTTGACCACTGAACCATGAAAATGAGGTCAAGGTCAGATGACACCTGCCCGCTAGACATGTACACCTTACAATCATTCCATACACCAAATATAGTAGACCTATGGCATACAGTATAAGAAAAACAAACCAAAACACAAAAACTTAACTATAACCACTGAACCATGAAAATGAGGTCAAGGTCAGATGACACCTGCCAGTTGGACATGTACACCTTACAGTCCTTCCATACACCGAATATACTAGACCTATTGCTTATAGTATCTGAGATATGGACTTGACCACCAAAACTTAACCTTGTTCACTGATCCATGAAATGAGGTCGAGGTCAAGTGAAAACTGTCTGACGGGCATGAGGACCTTGCAAGGTACGCACATACCAAATATAGTTGAACTATTGCATATAGTACTAGAAAAAAAGACCAAAACTCAAAAACTTAACTTTGACCACTGAACCATGAAAATGAGGTCAAGGTCAGATGACACCTTCCCACTAGACATGTACACCTTACAATCATTCCATACACCAAATATAGTAGACCTATGGCATACAGTATAAGAAAAACACAAAAACTTAACTATAACCACTGAACCATGAAAATGAGGTCAAGGTCGGATGACACCTGCCAGTTGGACATGTACACCTTACAGTCCTTCCATACACCGAATATACTAGACCTATTGCTTATAGTATCTGAGAAATGGACTTGACCACCAAAACTTAACCTTGTTCACTGATCCATGAAATGAGGTCGAGGTCAAGTGAAAACTGTCTGACGGGCATGAGGACCTTGCAAGGTACGCACATACCAAATATAGTTATCCTATTACTTATAATAAGAGAGAATCTAACATTACAAAAAATCTTAACTTTTTTTTCAAGTAGTCACTGAACCATGAAAATGAGGTCAAGGACATTGGACATGTGACTGACGGAAACTTCGTAACATGAGGCATCCATATACAAAGTATGAAGCATCCAGACCTTCCACCTTCTAAAATATAAAGCTTTTAAGAAGTTAGCTAACGCCGCCGCCGCCGTAGCCACCGCCGCCGCCGGATCACTATCCCTATGTCGAGCTTTCTGCGACAAAAGTCGCAGGCTCGACAAAAACCATATTGTGTCTTGTAATCTTCTTATAAGACTGACAAAGATATTAAACTGTTGACACAGAGATATGTCTCACTTTTGATAGTCAAATTCAAATGTTGAAATCAAATTGGCAGTATCTAAGCATGTAAACTATGCAAAACATTCAAAGCCAATGAACTATGACTGAAAATAAAGGGCCAAATATGAGAAATGCCAATGCTTATAAAACTGCAACACCCCCCCCCCCCCCCCCCCTCGACTTATCATAAGTGGTAACCTAAACACAAGCTGTTAAAGTATGCAAAAGTTTTAAAGTCAACAAACTATGACGATAAGGTGGGGCCATACAATATCTATGGAAATGAGACTTGCAAATGCTTATACAACTGCATACCAACTATAATTGACTTAATATAAGTTGTTTATCTTACATGTCTTAAACTGATCTAATCACAAACTTTAACATGTAAACTATGCAAAACATTCAAAGTCAATAGACCATGACTGAGTGGGAGGAGACAAATAATCTCCATGGAAATGAGATGTGCCAATACTAATACAGCTGCATACCAATTACCATTGACATACTTCTAATGGTTCCCCATAAACTGACCGTATCACGAATTAATACATGTAAACTAAGCAAAAGTTTCAAAGTCAATAGACCATGACTGCGGGGGCGAGGCCAAAAAATCATCATGGAAATAGTGCTAATACAACTGCATACCAAATACCTTTAACATGCCACTAGTGGTTTATACCGATAAAATAATCACAAACTACATGTAGTGATTATTTTAGCCTATGGTCTTTTTACTTTCTTTAAGATGTAAAAAAGTTACTACAGTTCTTTAAATATATGAGAAAAACAGTGAACTATTCATACAATTATATACATTCTTATTGCTATTTTGTGAATTTTTCTTTTGATATTTTTTTGTTATAATTTTTCATATCATGCTACTGGCTTGAGATAGAAAATTATCGCTAGTATCTAGACCCGTTAGCAACAGCCTATTTTTCTCAATCGCCAGAAAGTGAATGTATGACAATACATGTATGAGCCCATGTCATTGATGTTGCCTGGGAAAACAGTGATAAACAGATTATCAATGGTTTACTAAACTCAAGGATGTTTCTCGTCTACATCTCATCTCAGGGCTGACACCCTTTGCTGAGATTGTAGCTGGGAAACACCCTCTTATTTGAAATACCATCGATAATCAATACCGGGTAATCATTTCTTTTATTCTCTTGGAAATGTATGATATGGAATGTTTGACTTACCTCTAATTGTCCACATTGATCATTTCATCATTAAGCATAAAAAAATTATTAGATTTATATATATAAATATTCTTCCTCCAAAGAGAGACAGTAACTTAGTGGATCATGACAAACTGCAATAAAATCTGGTATCTTTATCCAGTAATTACCTCTGCAATTGTCATTATCTGTACTATATCTGGCAATTGATGTGATGAAATTCTAAAGGTTATATCGGGAACACCAACAACACGTACATCATTTATTGTGGTTTCTGAAATCAACCCTAAACTGTAAAATAAAAAATGTTATACAATAACCAAGCACTAAAAATGTCACATTGTGGACATCTTTAAATGATGATTCTGCAATGCAAGGTTGGACATGTAAATGCACAGTAACAGTAGTATTAGGTTGCTTGAGATGGATCAAAGTCATTCTATATCAACTTAAAGCTGAAAGTTTTCTTATCTGATATTGCAAGCTAGTTACAAAATTTTAAAACAAACTGCGTAAAAATATTAAATCTAAACTTGTCCTTTTATCCAATAATCATAAAAATTATTGGTCCCTGACAATGACCAATTTTTGGCAGCATGTGTTTTTCTCATACCTAAATTCAGATAGTAAGCAGATTTATTAACATAGGCAAATCCCATTTGGTTGTTATAATATTGACAGAACTGCTGGAATAATGAGAATTATGGTTTTCAAGATTTTGAATTAACTTCATTTTACTCTAGTGTATTTATATTAGGCATGTTGGTTGAATTGTTTAAATGCTAAATACCCAAAAGATCATTTAGTTCAAGCTTGATTGAAATTGTTTTCATCAAAGAAGATTTTTTAAAAAGTTAATGAAGACATGATGGCAAATGCTCACATAGTGAATACCCCTTTTTGGTAAGGTGAGCTAAAAAAATTCCTTGATTTAATCTTTAGTGAGAACTCTGCACATGTACATGTAATAAGTAACATTATATGTATCAGCCATACAAAAATATACCTTCCTTTAAAGCAACACATTCTGCAGAACTTCTCCAACATGGTAGTAAATCTGACTTTTTCTACTGTTCTTGATGTTAACAAGAGGTCATACAATATTTCCTTTAAATCGCTTAGAAAGTCCTGTCTTCCTGCTTCAACGTGATTAAACAAAATTCTAAAATATAGGAAAGGAAACATTATTTTTAACACTATAGTACATAGTTCATTTTTGTACGTCTCTTCTGTTTAAAAAATCTTCATTTATTAGGACAAGTCAAATCTTTATTTACAAGTCCTACATGTATAACCGTTATCCAATGGTTTCAGTAATGTAAGCATTTTTGATGATCATGTATCATGTGTATTGCTGATCATTTTTGCAGTTGACAGTTTTTACCGATCTATTAATAGTTTTCAATTGCAAGATAATAGGCAAAACCTCTGTCAGTAGTTTAAAATTGTCATTTAATTATTAAAAGGCAACAACAACTATCAGACTATAACATGTATAAGGAGTCATGCAATGTTTTCTGTCATTTTGGCATTTGTGTAGATCTGGACAAGTTGTATTGCTGATTATTTTTTTCTGTTGAAAGTTTCTACACGTATCTACAATATGTAGATGATTTAGATAATCATGATAATAGAAATTGAACTAATTTGGGGACTGATTCCTTGACTAGTAATATTTTCAGAAGTTCAATACCAGCAGTACATGTAAAATGAGATATCAAAGTTGTAAATCAGAATTAAAATTTTGATAAAATTAGTGACCAAAAATACCAGGAATGTTTTAAATATTCTAGTTTCCTGTTAATCTGGATTTTTTTTTCAGAATGATATAGTACAGTCAGGGGTACTACTTGTATAAGTAATCTTTATTTACTTGAAGAAGTAAATAAAATAAACTTATATAAGTGAATTATAATGTTTGAATAATCTCCCCTTAATTTTCTCAAAAATTTACTTGTATAAGTAAATTATTTTTACAGTCCCACAAAATTTCTTATGTTTTGAGATGTAAAAACATGCCTTTAAGAATTTTTCTCAGGTAAGATCATAATTTTTGATTAGAGTTCAATGTTTCATCTCATTAATTCAACAAAGAAACTGATTGCACAAAGATCTTAAGTATTTGTGCAAGGCCTTCAAAAATTGCCCCTTGGGGGCTTGTAAATGAGCAGTGTTCTAAAGATAACAGACAAATGAGATTTTCATTGTCCATGAAATTACACTTAAATGATCAGTAAAGACATCTGCAAAGGACAGACAATCAAAAATTCTATTAGAGCAAAGAAGTCCTAAGAATTCAAGAAAAGAAGATAGGATGACTTTTTTACTTGTATAAGTAAAAAAATCTGAATGTCTAAGGGACATACATTGTAACTAAGCCCAATTTTTTTTTACCTATACAAGTAAATAAAATACACTTGTATAAGTATCCTACAAATTTACTTATATAAGTATATTAATATTTACTTCTTCAAGTAAATAAAAATTACTTGTACAAGTAGTACCCCTGACTGTAGTACATGTACAAATAGAGTAATTTAGATATCACAACTAGAAGTCATAATTTTTATAGTTATGTAAAAATTTATTTAATGTCCAGGACATCGTGCACGTGTCAGTTGTAATTTGAAATTCTCATGAATGATTGGAGGCCAAGAAATGAAAAGAGTAAATTTATATATTTATTTCTATCCATAAGAGATGTCACTATCTGACAGTCTCTGATAAACGAATACATCTGAAGTCAGAGAAACAAAACAAGCTGTTGAACCCCAGCTGACCACCTGTTGTACCTGAACTTGTGATCAAATTAGTTGTCAGCTGTTTTATACTTTTCATTTCTAAAGTGTGATATTAAAAAGAAACTAGAGGCTCTAAAGAGCCTGTGTCACTCACCTGTATTTACTGATGCTTTGGAAATCATGTAAAATAAGGTTAAAATCATAATTAATAGTATGAGATATTAGATATTATAATGATATCTAAGATAATAACAAATAAAAACTGCAAAATTTCTGTAAAATTACTAACTCAGGGGCAGCAACCCAACAACGGGTTGTTGGATTCTTCTGAAAATTTCAGGGCAGATAAATCTAAATCTGATGAACATTTTTGCCACCTGTCAGATTTGCTCTAAATGCTTTAGTTTCAGAGATATAAACCAAAAACTGCATTTCACCCCTATGTTCTATTTTTAACCATGTCGGCCATGATGGTTGGAAGGCAGGGTCATCGGACAAATTTCTTAAACTAGATACCCTAATAATGATTACAGCCAAGTAAGGGTTAAATTTGTCTCAGTAGTTTCAGAGAAGAAGATTTTTGTAAAAGATTACAAAAATTTACGAAAAATTGTTAAAAATTGACTATAAAGGGCAATAATTCCTAAAGGGGTCGACTGACAATTTTGGTCATGACAACTTATTTGTAGATCTTACTTTGCTGAACATTATTGCTGTTTATCTTTATCTATAATAATATTCAAGATACATGTAATAACCAAAAACTGCAAAATTTCCTTAAAATTACCAATTCAGGGGCAGCAACCCAACAACAGATTGTCAGATTTATCTGAAAATTTCAGAACAGATAGATCTTGACCTGGAAATCAGTTTTACCCCACGTCAGATTTACTCTAAATGCTTTGGTTTCAGAGATATAAGCCAAAATCTACATTTTACCCCTATGTTCTTTTTTTAGCCATGGCAGCCATCTTGGTTGGTTGGCGGGGTCAACAGACACATTTTTAAAACTAGATACCCTAATGATGATTGTGGCCAAGTTTGGTTTAATTTGGCCCAGTGGTTTCAGAGGAGAAGATTTTTGTAAAAGCTAACGACGACGGACGACAAGTGATGAGAAAAGCTCACTTGGCCCTTCGGGCCAGGTGAGCTAAAAAACAGACATCTGCCATTAATTCCTACCCCATGAATCAACCAAATAGTACAATTAATCTGTTGATAATAAATAAATTATAACAAATCAGCTGAGTGATTAAACACAACATTCTCATGACAAAAATCATCTTAATATGACATGTATGATATAACTAAAAAAAAAAAGCTGGGTTACAAATGTACCTGTTTAAATTGTTTTGAAATTAAAATCCAAGGTGGTACAAGGTCACAGAGGTATTAACATGTATTTCATTCAATAATAGATAGTATTTAGTCCAAAACACTTCCAAAATATTGATTTTCCTCATCAGTTGTCAATTTTTCCAGAAAAAAAATTAATTGGAAGATTGCTAGTCTAAATAATTGTGAAGTCTTGAAAAGGTATTTTAATTTTTTGATGTGACGCAGGGATACGTCAAAGCAAAATCTTAAAAAAATTCTTTGAAGACTTCATAATGATTTGGACTAGAAGATTGTGTATTTTTAAAATGAAAATTGGTCTGTTAACTATTAAGATTCATCATAACAAATGGACAAATATGGCCGTATTTTCACCTCAAAAAATACTCTGTGTACAGACTTACCTGTGCAGTTTGGAAAGTTTTAAGGCCTGGCATCCACTAGATATATAAAAGTTAAATCTATTTTGCAAATCTTTTTTTGAATATGATGGGCATTTTTTTTCCTTCCTGCAGAAGGTGTAAAAATAAACAAACACCTGAATTGCATTTGATACTGTCCACTCAGTTACTACCTTTAACTCACCTATAGTTGTGTAGATATCTATTGTCCATGCCAATCAAGGACAATCAATACAATACAAATCAGTTGTTACCTGAGATGGAGCATCTCAAAGTTATATCCCAACTTAGTTTATTTTTACACCTTCAGCAGGAACGGAAAAAAATGCCCATCATAATCCAAAAAAGATTTTATATTTCTGATATGCAAAATAAATTTAACTTTTATACATCTAGTGGATGCCAGGCCTTAAAACTTTCCAAACTGCACAGGTAAGCCTGTACACAGAGTAGTTTTTGAGGTGAAAATACGGCCATATTTGTCCATTTGTTATGATGAACCTTCATGTGGTCTACTCAGGGACAGTCTGTACTGTTAATATAGACTGTCCCTGGTCTACTGTACAAGAATTTAATCCAATTACCTTGAATCACTTTCTATGTTTTTCATTAACTCATCATCAGCATCGTTAACGTCTAGATGAAAATTGTCTGAAAGATACTGTCTTATTTTGACATGATTTTCTAATTCAAGCTCATTTATGGATGTGTCAAATGTCAAGACACTCTCCAAATATTGTTCGATTTTCGTTAAATCTGTATTCAGAGACGGTAGATCTGCAGAAATATTAATAAACGTGTCAAGGAATTCATCGATGCTGTCCCGCCAACAATAAGGATCCATCCAATTCAATCCGACATGGAGATTTTCTATTACTTTCGATGTCCAATCCCCTATTTCTCTGGGAATATAATGACTTGAAGAAGTTGATCTCGTTGGTTTATCAATCAATGCAGAATTACAACCTGAACTACTAGTTGAAGAACAGTGATCTTCTGCCTCGGAACGCATTGTTGTACGCTTTCTTTTGCGAGAATCCATTGGAAATATAACAGGGACGTAAATGATAGGGAAAGGAAATGATAATAATAACACTAATACTAATATTTTATTTTCCTAATCATAGCAAGGATTTGTATAGTAAGATCTTACTATACAAATCTTTGATCATAGACATAGGGCTCATTACAATAATAGTAATAAATACTTTATTTAAAGAGGGTAAAATCAGTTAGTACAAATATTAATACTAATCTCCCCTGATGCCCTCTGAATAACTCAAAATATAAATACATATTCATAAAAGTAGAACTTAGTAACTATGCAAAAAAAAAAAAAAAAATAATGGTGAAAAAAATACAGATTATAAGTGTTAACGTTTCATGAACATATTTCCTTAATGATGTACAAGACAAATATATGGATTTTTAGACTATAGATAAAATTTTATGATAATCATTATTTCGTTGGTTTTACATGTTGTATTGTATTTGTATGTAATGTGATAAAAGATTTTTATAGGGCCTTTTAATTGGAAAATAAAATATTCTTAGATGAATCTGATAACTAGCTTTTTTTGTCATCCAAAAACAAGAAATTATGATACCTTTGTTTGAACTGTTCTATCTTTTCTATCCTTTTTTTTCATTTCTACAGGAATACTGTTCCAAAGAACAGTACCGGAATATTGAAATGTCTTTTTCATAAAATTTGTTTGCGGACGTGGTATGAAAAGACAATTATTGTCTGATGAACGCAAAGAATATCTTGCATTAACATTTTGGTTATTGTTAAATAATTGACACAGATAATCAGGTGCAATACTATTTACACACTTATACATTAATACTCCTTTGTAATGTATATGATTCTGTTTTGAAAAGTTAACCATTCATTCCTAGTTGTTTGAATAACGTTTTTGACGGTGTATCATATGCCGTGTTAAGAATGATACTGGCTGCCCTTTTTTGTAATTTTAACATTTTTTCCATATTTGAATTATTTGTTTTTGTCCATATTGTACAGCAATAATCAAAGAGAGGAAGTACATATCCATTATAAAATAAACATAAACCTTTTTTGTGGAATATAATGCTTCAATCGATGTAGTAAACCTAGTCTAGTTGAAATTACAGTACATACATGTACTTTGTTTATTTGTTGATTCCACGAAAGACGTCATCGATTAAAATGCCAAGTAGTTTTTCTCTGTTTACTTTTTGTAAAATAATTCCACTGTATTCTATCTATGATATTTCTTATATACTTTGAAGCTTCCTATGTGATCCAACTAACAGATATTTGGATTTTTTAATATTTAAAATCATATCATTATTTTCACACCATATTTTAAAAGTTACCATCTCGTCATTAAGTTTATCACATATTATCATTAACGGGATTAGAGGGAAATTAAAGTGCTGTGTCATCCGCATACAAATCAGGCTTTTTATTATTTAGTTGAAGTGGGAGATCCTTTATATATAAAAGAAATAATAAAGGGCCTAGAATACTGCCCTGCGGTAAACCAAATTTTACTTCTTCGCCTGGAGATATGTTGTTGTGGTTTATCTTTACTTTTTGAGACCCGTTTGAAAAATATGATTTGAACCATTTAAACGAAAGAGTATCAAACTTAGACATTTCTAATTTCGATTATAAAATTGAGGGATTTACAATATATATCAAAAGCTTTTTTTTTAAATCTAAGAATACAACTCCCGTACGTTTAATAATTTAGAGTACCATGCATCCAATGCATGATCGGGATCATCAAAATAAAGTATTTCATAAAATTTTTTAGCCTTTAAATCTGCTATATATTTTTATTGATTAAATTTATTGAAGTGTCTTTATTTTATTGTAAAATTGAGAATGGAAATGGGAAATCGTCTAATGTATTTACACTGTCAGAAAATTAAACTATTCAAGCCCCACCTTTACTTGTACTCCGATCTTTTCTTTCAAATGTAAAACCTTAAATTTCTAGCTCTTTTGACTTGACGTGACATTTTTCGGGTGTTAAAAATGTTTCACACATTCCTAGTACGTGTGGTTTTTCCCAAACTTTCAATTTTGTAAAAAAAATTTTTATTTCATCTAACTTTGGCAGTAAATGTGGAATATTTTGAAACGTTATTTTTAGACTTTTGTTTTTTAGATGACCATATATATTATTTGTATAATCATTTTCATGTATTTGTGTTTTACCTTTTTCTAAATTACACTCAGTACCAGCAATGATCTACTAATAGGGGACAAACAATTATCCAAATTAGTACAGTTACTTAACTTACAAGTATTATTAAAATTTCTTTCATTTGTTACATTATCTATGTCAGAAGTTCCCAGTAAATCTAAATTTGAACCACATGAGCACACTGAAAACTCTTTATTACACTTAAACATACATGAAGGCTAGACATTAAAGCACTAAACTTGTTTTTGCAAACGACTTTGAATCCCTAATTTGCATACATATACTAGTAATTGATAGGTAAAGGACCATTTAGCTGCCTGTAGCCTTGGGTGTCTGTGATGTAGTGTTTTCTACAAAGTTTTTGTTTATGTCCAATTTCATTACATGAATAACACCGTATTGTCTGCTTAAATCTGCAACTTACCTGGCTGTGATTTGTTTCTTCATAGTCGAAACAAGATTATGGCGAATTTTGTGGACAAGACTGGCCTTCAAATTTTGAATGCAATTCATGAGTAGCACGTTGCAGATACAGATTTTTATTTGTGCTGTTTCTTTGATGAAAATGTTGTTGAAATCAGAAATTTAAGTCTGATTTTTCTCGGTCATTTTCTGTGTATGTATGTATTGGCAAGTATGGGTGTAACATCATTCATGTTATGTATAAGTATTGATGTTCATTTCTTGGTGAGGTGTACTCCGTCAGGATATAAAATACCTGGAATCAACTTGCCGTTCCTGAGTACATAGGCTATTAGCTATCAATGTGGTTTATAATCTATATCACACAAGTTCTTCAAACATTCATTGTAGTCAATCACATGAACTCCTCCCACCAACGATTATCCTAATTGACGGATTTTCTTTATTAAGCATTGTTAATAATGATCTAAACGAATCTCTTAATTCTTGAAAAGAGACTTTATTTCCAACATCGTTTTCCCCAAACTGTAAAATGAGAGTAGTGTATGGTGAAAGGTCAATTGAAGAGATATGCATTTTTATCGACTGGACAGTTCCACCTCTATTGGTATTTACATTAACTTCCTGCTTTAATATTCTAGTTTGAATTCCTTTTGTTATCGAACTTCAACGATGAGAATGTTTTTGCCATGTTGCCGTTGTTCGTTAAGTCGGAGTTTTAACTTTCGTTTTAGCTTGTTTTTTTCATGTATAGGCGATCGGCGAATAGGAGAACTTATTGGCAAGTATATCAATCAAGTTACAGATACAGACAATACAATATAATCATGATTATTAATACATATAAAAGACAACAAAAATAAAAAAAATAAAACATTAAAACAACATAACAATAAAACACAATAAAACAACAAAATCATAAATAACACCATTTGAAGATACATTTGTTTTAACAGTTGCAGATAAGATTGGTAGTGTTGTGATATACGACCCACCAACTCATGCTAGTATTTTGCAAATAAAAGATCATAATTGCACAAACACACAATTTGATTTTTAGAAAACAACAACAGAAAAAGTAGCAAAAATAATAAACAAAATTAACATTTAAAAAGCTACTGGAGTAGATGGCATACCAGAAAAGGTAGTGAAATATTGTAAACCTATAACCGTGCAACAGTTAACAACATTAATAAATTTATCTGTAGAAACTGGTGTATTTTCTGATGGACTTAAGCTGGCTCAAGTAACACCACTGCACACAAAAACCCAACCAACTTGACAAAGCCAACTATAGGCCTGTCAGTGTTTTATCTATTTATTTTTTAAATTATGAAAAGGTGTTTAAAAATACAACTTGGTGATTTTTTTTGGAAATATATTTCATCCTTATCTATGTGCTTTTAGACGTGGGCATGGGTGTCAGACCACACTGTTAAGACTGCTAGAAGATTGGCGTGCAGCATTAGATAATAACCAGTATATAGCTGTGGTTCTAATGGACCTTTCAAAGGCTTTTGATTGCTTACCACTGTGCACATGAAATTCTTCTTGATAAATTATCAGCATATGGTGTATCTTCTCATTCGATTTCACTTCTTCAATCTTATTTGTCAAACAGGAAACAACAAATTAAAATAAATAGTATTCTTAGCACATTTGTAGCAGTTGGGCTGACATTCATAAGGGGGTTCCCCAGGGTTCTAACCTGGCCCCTTACTGTTCAATGTTTTTATCAATGATATATTTTTATTTGTAAAAAATGGAACTCTGTATAATTATGCAGATGACAATACGTTATCTTACTGTAATCCAGATTATGATGTTTTAATTTCTACTTTAGAATCTGAATCACGTAAACTTTTTAAATGGTTCAAAACGAACAAAATGCAGGTAAACTTTGACAAATTTCAGGTTTTAGCAGTTGGGAAAAGGACATATAACAAAAATCTATGTAAACGTATTCAAAGTGCTGATCTTTCGTGTGAGTCAACTGTCAAACTTCTTGGCATTGACGTTGATTATCAGCTAAATTTTGATACTCATATCAGTAAAATGCAGGAAGGCATCTCAGCAACTTAGCATTTTGAAACGTTTGGGAACTTATTCGAACAAGCTAAGTAAGATAACTATATTCCATACAATTATTTTGAGCAATTTTAATTTCTGCCCTTTGCATGGCATTTTTGTACTGAGAAAAATAAAAAAAAAAAATAGAAAAAGTGCAAGAAAGAGCACTAAGGTTTTTGAATGAAGATCATTCAAGCTCATACCAACAGTTGCTTCAAAAGGCTAAGATGCATAAAAAAGACAAAGATCAATCGCAATTGAAACTTGTAACATAGTTAATAAATTAGCACCTGTCTGTTTACATGATCTATTCAATGTAAAAGATTGTTAATATTCTTTCAGATATAGTAATATA